TGCCTGCCCAGACACAGGTGAGCTTTCTCTTGAATCACAGTCTCAGATGATTATAGACGTGTTTCAGCTTGGAGGGAGACCTAGTGCCGTGGTGACTGCTCTCGGGCTGCTAACCTCAGGGTCAGCAGTTTGATACCACCAGCTGGTCCTTGGGAGCAAACTGAAGCTTTCTACTACGGGTAAAGAGTGACAGTCTTGCAAACCCACAGGGGCAGGTCCACCCCATCGTCTAGGGTTGCTATGAGTCCCAGTAGACTCTATGGCAATGAGTTTGATTTTCTTTCTGCTTCCGTGGTCTAAGATCTCCCTTTTAAGAGGTTCTATATTGAAATTGTGGATGGGCAAATGGTCTTTTCATTATATTATTGTAAATGACTCTTATATTCTTTATCATCATTTGGAATAATTTACCTACCTACTACTTTTACCCTGCTAGACTTTATGTACAATTATCATTCACATGGTGTTCCTTCTTATAGAAATTACAATCCATTTAAGAAGCCGAACCTTCTTGGTTTTCTAGCTTAGGCCAAGAACATTTGTTTTCATTTCATAATGGAGGTTTTAACTGTAGTTATTGGGAACTCTTAACTACTCCACAGGTATGGAAGAAGGCGATTTCAAGTTATGGCTTGAGCCGGAACTAATCTCTGTTTTTTCAGTTTTCCACATCTACCATCAGTAGTACAGGAACCTTGAATTTTTTCCATGGTAACGGTGATCCGGTTGGCTCTGGAGGAGCCCTCCTGGCTCAGTGGTTAAGGTACTTCGTTGGCAGTTTGAACCCAGGAACCACTCTGAGGGAGAAAGATGCGGCAGTCAGCTTCTGGAAAGATTTGTCATCTTGGCAACTCTATGAGGCTCTTGTACGTGGTGCTGTAGGGTGCTCTGAGGTGGGATCACCCGAGGGCAGTGGGTTCTGGTCTTTTTATGTGTTTGAGGTCCCTTTGCCCAAGTTCATAGTTGAGAGCTGATTTACTAGGAATGGGTCTTTTGGCCTTAGAACAGCAAAGCTGTCAGTTAATGAAAAATACAAGACTCATGATTTGGGGCTTGTTAGCATACTACTGCCATTAGCTGACCTTCCGCTCATAAATAAGCTATGGAAGTTAGAATGC